AAGTGATTGATTTGATGTGTATGAGAGAGAGATTTGTTTGGAAAACTTATAAACTAAACAAGTTTTGAAAAAAAAATTTGGAAAAATTTGTTTGGTTTGATTACTTTTGAAAACTTATTTGTAGAGAATTTTTCTCAAAATTTTTTGAGAAACACAGACCAAACAAGGCCATAGTCTTTCAAAACCTGCAAAAATCAATTTCCATTTCAAGTCACCACCATCCTCACAAACCAAAAGGAAACGCAAAATTGTTATGAAATCCATCTTGTTTATTAAAAAATAAAAAAAAAATAGTTAGTTTATTTACTAAGAAACTTGGAGAGCTTCATTTGGGATAATGATATACAAACATTATTTTTGTACAAAACATGTGTGAAATAATATTATAAGTATATTGCCTTTAAATCTTTTTTAGCTCGGCAAATGAGAGTACAACCTCTAAAAACTTTTGTGAAATCACTATTGTATACCTTTTATATCTTCTATTGAATTGTCACTCAAATCCAGTTTCTGTAAGTTGTTTATATTGCGGAATTCTACAATGAAAAAGAAAAAAAGAAAAAGAATTGAGTGTAAATCTAATCATATTTGTTGTATGAGTCATATTAAACTTCATTTGGGGGCAAAATGAAGTTTACGTTAGCAACTTCCATTTGATTATAGACTACAATTGATAACGGGGTGCAATTGATTCAAAATCAAATAGATTAAGGCCTCATTTGGGGACAGACTTTTTTAGTAACTTTTTGACTTTTTGGCTAAAATGTGATGTAAAAAAAAACTAGTATATTTGGGATAACTTTTGACTTTTTACAAAAAGATGTGTAAAAAGTAGAAAGAAAAATGAATCTTTGACTTTTTGGTATAAGTTATTGGCTTTTTGCTTTTTTTAATAACTTTTTGATTTTTTGGCTAAAAGGGGCACTTGCCAAATGAAGCCTAAGTATAAAATTGATATTTTAAAAGAACATGAGTTCAATTAATTTTTGAATGATAATTTAGAAGGCACAATAAAGTTTTCTCCTTACAATATGGTTAAATTACATTTAGCATCCTTACATTTTCATCAAAATCTCACTTTAATTCATTTACTTTCAATTGTATAGTAAGTGGCGTCTCCAAAAATTTGTAGAGATAAGGTCACCTTACATGTTCAAGTTCCACAAATTCTAAAAACTAGAAAAAAAAACATTTACACTAACCAACATTTAAGCCTTGTTTGAAAACTTGACTTTTAGGTTAAAAAAAGTTAAAATTTTTTTTTAATTATTTAAAAAAAGTTAAAAAAACTGCTACAAAAGCAAGTCATAAGTACCAGTCAACACGTTTTTTCATTCAACTAAAAAAAGGCATTACCAAATTCATTTGACTCATTTCATCTTATAAAACAATCAAAAAATTAAAAAATTATTAAAAAAAACCAAACCCCAAATGATGCCCTAAACTTTTCAAACTTTTTATGACTAAATTTCTCAAATTTAAGTAGAATAAACTGCAAAAATATTGTACTATTTGTCTGAACAACAAATAATATAAACTTTTACACTTACATTTTGATGAGGTTTTATTTTTTAGAACTATTGCATAATAACTTCATTGTTAATAATGTCAAACACATTTTCTTGTATTTATGTAATTAAAAAATTATTCATTCATTGATGTCAAACTATACAATGAGGTCCCTTAATTTTAATAAGATTAAATCATATTAAATAAAAAATTAATAATTTAAATAGTTGTTCTATTAAGAGTTTTTGATGGGTTGACGGGTGATGGAACTGCATAACCCTAAGCTAGCGTCGCCCTCGGTAATAGTCAAACCCTACATTTTTTATCAAGTTGCAATATCACCTTTCTATCTATTTGTCATTAATGAAGTTTATAGAACTTGTCATTTGAAACCCATGTGACATTCTTTTTTCTTTTTTTTTTTGTCTCGTTAACACTCTTACACTTTTATTAAAATCTCACTTTAGTCTTTACTTTCACCAAAATCTCACTTTAATCCTTCAACTTTTAATTTATGCTAGCTTATTAACGATAAATGGATAAAGCGGGTGAGATCTTTTTTTTCTTCTTTTTTGAACAGCTAAAAAGAACTTTATTGATAAAATTTAGAGTACACTATACAAAGATCAAAAGGAGAAGAGAGCGCTAAGCATCAAAGCTAGCAATTCCATTCCAACTAGGTTGGCACCGAAAAACGAGTCCTATCACTTGCTAAGGCACAACCCCACTAGTTGGAGAGAAACCAACCAACAAAGACAAGAACAAAACCAGAAAAAGAAAACATAGAAGAGCAAAAGAAACCAAAAACCAGAGCATGGTATGAGGCTCCAATTTCTGGTCGCTCATTCACCCAACACCATTTCTACACGAAGTTAATTGTTGCAAGTTGTATATAATATCATTGATAGAGTAAGCTAGCCCTTTTGAATTGCAAGTTGTAAATAAAAGGGTAAGATTGCAATTTGATCGAAAGTATAGGGGGTTGATTGTTACAATTAAAACTGAACGTACCAAATTGAAATTTTGGTGAAAGTGCAAGGGCACTAAATATTATTTACCCTTACAATATTGAAAAGTGTTTTGAATTGATCTCCCAACTTAATTTTGTCTATCTTTCTGTCTCAACTAGGGGTAAAGCTTGAAAACCATAAATACACATCATCAAAAAATTAAATAAAAAAATGTAAAAGCCAACGTCTTTGGGAAAGAATATTTACATTATTATGATAAAATGTAATTTTTATAATGACGAAAAAATAATTTGTCAACCAAAGCTTATTTTCAATGATAAATGAGATCTTCGTCAATAATTTTTTCATTAATAATTTTCTGGGCGATAATTTTTCATTGTAATATATATCTATCTATTTTAATATATAAAGTGAGGGTTGTTGGTGGTATTGACAATTTTGTCTCACAATTTTCTTTCTCAAAATACCCCTATATTTGGAGTTTTTGTAAAAAGTATGCAAAGAGAAGGACGGGCCTCACCCCATGACCTTCGGTTTAATAATGAAAGCTTGTACAATTAGTATCTTGTACGATTATTTCATCAATAAAGGTTTCTTTTGTTGATATAAAAAAAAAAGAAAAGAATAATGTTATTTTTTTTCAAGTTACACACATTGTGTGCCGACCAGATACTATGTTTGTTTAAGTTAATGGTGGAATAATGTACATGTTATGTTTTGAAAGTTTATGTTTCGAAAAATAATGACAAATTAATGTTGAACAATGTTTGTTTAATGTTAAGTTTTTGTTTATTAGTGAATTTTATGAGAGTAGTTTGTTTGATGGGTTTGTTATTATTATTTTTAAAATTTATGAAAAGTTGAATTTTTTTCAAAATGTTATATGATTTTTCTTGTAAACAGATTATGTGAAACCATGGTTCCAAACCGAACCAAAACATGTTTAAATAGTTTGGTTCGGATTGGTTCTATGATTTTAATGGTTTGGTTTGATTCCAACTTTTATGGAACTATAGACAATAGATTGGTCCTGGTTTCATCCCAAACTGATCTAAATTGGACCATACTCACCCCTACTTGATTGGCCAAATTATAACATAAGATTGAGATTATTAGTCCGTCCGACTCGCATTCCGTTATTTGGATTATATTTCAATGGTCATTATATGTAACAAAATTGATGAATTTTTTTAAGCCTACAACTAATAACGCGAAACATACACATAATTGAGATTATATATATTTCCATATTAATTACAAAACAAACATAGATAAGAAAGAATTATGTATCTCACTAATTCAACTGGATAACTAATACTAATCTCATAAATTATTAATTCTCTCACTATTAATCCTATTAATCAAACACGCCCTTAGAGACTAAAAAGTAACTAACCATTATTTATAAATTTGGCAAACTATATTATGTAATAGTAACCATCTCAACCTTGTTGTTGTCGAGTCCGATTATTATAAAACTGGATAATTAATAATTAATTAACAGTTTCAAAATATTATTGTGACATTGTTTATGTGATAATTTATGGGATTATCTACCACTCCTAACATGTAGAACATACCGGCTTTGTTTGATTTGAAGAATTAATAGTGAAGAGATCAACAATTTATTGGATTAAAAAGCATCAAAGCAAGCTAATCAATCCCCTTTATTGATGTATGTCATTTGCCTTGTAATCTGATTATCATTGACAAAGTTTTCTTTTGCTGATAAAAAAAAATCATGGTATCAATGAATGATTGGTTATCCAACTAGATTAGTGAATTGTATGTGGTGTTACTAACTAATAATGTGATAAAAAATTTCACAGATGAGACAATGTTTTTTTTATTATTTATTTCTTTGATCAACAAAGAAACTTTATTAATGATTAAAATGTTGTACAAAATGATGGCTTGGTGAATTGCATCATAGCCAGCAAAGTACTCCCAACTATGCAACTATGCTGCTATCTCCAATTAAACCCAATCACGTGTAGACCCAGACCAAAGGAAAGGGTTGGAGAGGACCCAACCAGGGGGAGATACAATCAAGATAAAATAAAGGAAAATAAAAACCATCTGACAAGTCATCTAGCATAGGGCCTGATCTTAGTGGCTTTAAGTCCTTCCAAAGAAAAGATGAAATCATTGATTAAGTAGTCAGAAATGTTAGCTGAAATCTTCACCCAAGAAGCAGTTCGAACTTTTACAAGCTCAGATAAGACAATGTTGACTTATATTTGTTAAGTAATTGGGAGATAAGGGTCTTAGAGCATCTCCAACCTAATCCTCTCACCAAGAGGATGAAAATATTTTTTTTTTATTCAAAAAGTAAATATAGAGTATACCACTATTTATTCAAACTCCAACCACAAACCTTCATTTTCTTCTCTAAATATTTCCCTCCAAAATTAACCATTAATTTTCCCTCCATCTATTTTCGTTACCATCTATTATTTTATAAAAAAACCAAACCCTCATACATCAAAGAAAATGACTGTAGAGCTTTCTAAAACAAAAATGGATGTCGAGTATATTCATGAAGAAATGGATGCAGAGCATATTTATTTACCACCATTCCCTGATTATGAAAAAGAAATGGTAGCATGGGAAGAGGAAGAAAATGTATTACTTTATTTATATGCCTCCAACAACATCATCATAGCTCAATATCTTGAAGAAAATGATCAATTGGTACGTAAAGGTTCAGTTCATGGACATATAGTGAGAGATCGTAAAAGGGAAGAAGGTCATGCTCAATTATGGAATGACTACTTCTCAGAGAACCCCACCTATGAGGAAAATTTATTTCGCAGGAGATTTCGAATGCGTAGAAGTTTATATTTACAAATTGTTGATGCTGTGAAAGCTCACGATGATTTCTTTGTGCAGAAGAAGGATGGTCTTGGTAGACTTGGATTGTCTACTTTAAAAAAAGTAACAAGTGCATTTCGAATGTTGGCATATGGAACAGCGGCCGATTCTGCGGATGAATATATACGAATTGGTGAGTCTACTGCCATTCTATGTATTGAAAAGTTTTGTCGGGAATTGTTGAGATATTTGGGAAAAAAATACCTTAGATCACCTAATTCCAATGACATTGCAAGTTTGTTAAAAAAAGGTGAAGAACGGGGCTTCCCAGGGTTGCTTAGGAGCCTTGATTGTATGCATTGGTCTTGGAAAAATTGCCCAATAGCTTGGGTAGGACAATACTCTAGATATGGTGGATCCCCAACTATTATTCTTGAGGCAATGGCATCTCATGACCATCTCATGACCTATGGATTTGGCATGCATAGTTTGGCTTACTGGGCTCCAACAATGACATTAATGTCTTGAGGCAGTGGCATCTAATTTGTTTGTGAGATTCGCAAACAAATTTGATGATTGCAAGACATTAATGTCGTTGTTGGAGCCCAGTAAGCCAAACTATGCACGCCAAATCCATAGGTCATGAGATGCCACTGCCTCAAGAATAATAGTTGGAGATCCACCACGTCCAGAGTATTGTCCTGCCCAAGCTGTTGGGCAATTTTTCCAAGAACAATGTATACAATCAAGGCTCCCAAGCATCCCTGGCAAGCCCCGTTTTTCACCTTTTTTGAACAAGCTTGCAATGTCATTGGAATTAGGTGATCTAAGGTATTTTTTTCCAAATATGTCAACAATTGCCCGACAAAACTTTTTAATACATAGAATGGTAGTAGACTCACCAATTCGTATATATTCATCCGTAGAATCAGCCGCCATTCCATATGCCAACATTCGAAATGCACTTGTTACTTTTTGTAAAGTAGACAATCCAAGTCTACCAAGACCAGCCTTCTTCTGCACAAAGAAATTGTCGCAAGCTTTCACGGCATCAACAATCTGTAAATATAAACTTCTACGCATTTGAAATCTCCTGCGAAATAAATTTTCCTCACAGGTGGGGTTCTCTGAGAAGTAGTCATTCCACAATTAAACATGACCTTCTTCCCTTTTACGATCTCTCACTATATGTCCATGAACTGAACCTTTACGTACCAATTGATCATTTTCTTCAAGATATTGAGCTATGATGATGTTGTTGGAGGCATATAAATAAAGTAATACATTTTCTTCCTCTTCTCATGTTGCCATTTCTTCTTCATAATCAGGGAATGGTGGTAAATAAATATGCTATGCATCCATTTCTTCATGAATATACTCGGCATCCATTTTTGTTTTAGAAAGCTTTACAGTCATTTTCTTTGATGTATGAGGGTTTGGTTTTTCTATAAAATAATAGATGGTAAGGAAAATAGATGGAGGGAAAATTAATGAAGGGAAAATTGATGGTTAATTTTGAAGGGAAATATTTAGAGAAGAAAATGAAGGTTTGTGGTTGGAGTTTGAATGATTAATGATATACTCTATATTTACTTTTTGAATAAAAAAATTTATTTTCATCCTCTTGGTGAGAGGATTAGGTTGGAGATGCTTTAGGGCCAAGTAGGCTTAGATTTGTTCAAAAGCCTCAGATCAAAAAATAGAGGTCATTTCGCATGACTTCTTCATCTCGCACTCTCATATTTAACGCCACATCCAATATAATCTCGCCAGTGTTTCCTTCGGATCTCACCTCACCTTACTCAACCACTATGCCGGATCTTCGATCCTTACCCCCGAGGCCTATCCCGCCCGTACTGTTATCGTGATTCTTGTTCGTGAAGTGAACATCAATCTCATTCGAGGTACATATACTTTTCTCCCTTCAATTTGAAGATTTACGCGTTAAAGGTTGGGAATTGTGTTTGATACATATTTGAAGTACTCATTCAGTTGCCAATTGATAGCTAATGAAATCGTTTTTTAAGTTTAAAGTTTGAATAAGTTTTTGATTACACTTAATATTAGGTGAAAATATGATTACAAGCTTAATGGAATAAAAATTTGGAAGCTTGGTGTGGTATAAAGGTTTTTGTTGATGAAAATTGTTGGAATTTGTCTGTCAGTGGATTTTTTTTGCATGATTACAACTAGAAGTGTAAGTCAATTGATTTATTGGAATTTTTGTTAGAAATGGAATGAAGTAAGAAATACTATGGTAGTACTTTTTAGAAGAAGTTAGGGAAATTTTTAGATTTTTTGCCATCTCTCTCTCTCTCTCTCCCCTTTGCTGTTTACAGATTGTGTTTGTTTGGAAAAAAAGTTATGGTTGGAAGAGGGACAGTGGCTATGAAGAGGTATCACAGACAGATTTGTTCATCTCTTGCTCATCCCTATCTTCCATGGGTCTCTAATCCAAATTTGTTGAATTCAAGAGTTCATTTTTTTTTGTTTTTGGGTTAAACAGATTGAATTTTTTTTGGATGATTGTTATTGTTGATGTTGATGTTGATGATTGTTGTTACTGATGAACAAATAAAGATAAAAAAAAATTAAACAGATAGAATATAGCGACCCCGGTCTTTTCCCATTTAATTATTGTATCCGGACTGTTCCGTAGATTCTGTCATTGTATAATGGTTGTTGTTGTTATTCCTTATTTTCTCATTTGGAATTATAGGATGTGTTGGGCAGGTTTGTGTATGTGGTGGCCGATGCCCTTAGCAGGAAACCTGTTGGTGACATAGCTAGCATAGCCATCCGAGAGTGGGAGATGTTGGGTGCACTTGGAGAGTTTGATTTACTTATGGGCGAATC